GGGCTTCGCCTAGGCTCTCCAAAACTCCTCCTCTCCTCTCTCTAGCCTTGCTCCAAGCCCAAGGAATTCAGCCATTTGAAATGAAGGCCTAAGGGGCCTATTTATAGGAAACCAAGAGGAGGGGGTGGTAAAAGGTGAGGAAAGGTGAGGACACCCCCTTGGGGTGGTAAAAGGTGTGTAGGGGCTGAGGACACCCCCTTGGGGTGGTAAAAGGTGTGTAGGGGCTGAGGACACCCCCTTGGGGTGGTAAAAGGTGTGTAGGGGCTGAGGACACCCCCTTGGGGTGGTAAAAGGTGTGTAGGGGCTGAGGACACCCCCTTGGGGTGGTAAAAGGTATGTAGGGGCTGAGGACACCCCCTTGGGGTGGTAAAAGGTATGTAGGGGCTGAGGACACCCCCTTGGGGTGGTAAAAGGTATGTAGGGGCTGAGGACACCCCCTTGGGGTGGTAAAAGGCGTGTAGGGGCTGAGGACACCCCCTTGGGGTGGTAAAAGGTGTGTAGGGGCTGAGGACACCCCCTTGGGGTGGTAAAAGGTGTGTAGGGGCTGAGGACACCCCCTTGGGGTGGTAAAAGGTGTGTAGGGGCTGAGGACACCCCCTTGGGGTGGTAAAAGGTGTGTAGGGGCTGAGGACACCCCCTTGGGGTGGTAAAAGGTGTGTAGGGGCTGAGGACACCCCCTTGGGGTGGTAAAAGGTGTGTAGGGGCTGAGGACACCCCCTTGGGGTGGTAAAAGGTATGTAGGGGCTGAGGACACCCCCTTGGGGTGGTAAAAGGCGTGTAGAGGTGAGGACACCCCTTTGGCGGCCAAGACACCCCTGGGGTGTCTTGGTCTTGCCAAGACACCCCTCGGGTGTTTCGAGCTTGCCGAGACTCCTTTTGAGGTGTTTTGTTGGTTCCCCTGTATATTCTTCGTCCGGATTCGGATTTGAGTGATTCCGGGTGCGTTGGATGCGCGACGAAGAGTTTGACCCGCTCTGGTGATTGGATTATCTGTAGAGTGGTCGAGGCATGAAGGGCGTTGTCCTTTTTGTGAACAGTGCCGGGCTTCCCGATTGGTCCGGGTCTTCGTGATTCCGAAGTCCTATCCGCTCATGTAACTCGTCGATTCACTTCAGTCGTTCGTCGACGTCGATTAGGCTCATGTGGATTGGATGGTGACGTTCATCGTCGCTCGTTAACACTGAACCGGTTGTGGAGAACTATAGGCAATTTTTGATGCCTACAGATACCCCCTCCAAAGTGTTCCTGACTCGTTTCTTTTATAGAAGAGGCTGGAATACTTTGGATGTGATTGATCTGGCCTTCAGTCGGCGTAGTTAGCTTCAACTCTTGACTCTTTCGATTTTCGATCTATCCGATGCTTTGACGAATAGCCGAGGTTCTTCCGGCGCTGCGTTTATCGTCTGGCCGTCGTCGGAGTCTCGAGTCTGCAGCTGATGAATTGAGTTTGGCTCGTGTCATTGAGTTGACTTTGAACTACCTCCGCCACATTGTGCTGGCTTAGGGTTCTGAATCACTGGGGGTTGACTTTTTGTCGCAACGCGCTGTCCGGCGTTGACCTAAGGTTACGCGTTGACCGGCGCTCACCTTAGGGTTTTGAACCGCGTGGGTTGACTTTCGTCGTCACGTGTTGACTTTCGTCGTCACGTGTTGACTTTTGTCGCAACGCGCTGTCCGGCGTTGACCTAAGGTTACGCGTTGACCGGCGCTCACCTTAGGGTTTTGAACCGCGTGGGTTGACTTTCGTCGTCACGTGTTGACTTTCGTCGTCACGTGTTGACTTTTGTCGCAACGCGCTGTCCGGCGTTGACCTAAGGTTACGCGTTGACCGGCGTCCACCTTAGGGTTTTGAACCGCATAGGTTGGCTTTTGTCGTCACGTGTTGACTTTCGTCGTCACGTGTTGACTTTTGTCGCAACGCGCTGTCCGGCGTTGACCTAAGGTTACGCGTTGACCGGCGTCCACCTTAGGGTTTTGAACCGCTGGAAGTTGATGTGTGAAGTTCACCCCTATTTTCAACCGTCGGCGCGGGAAAATCAACTTTTGTGGAAACATTGGGGGGTAAAAGAAATGATTCGTGGTATCAAACTGTCGCGCGGGGGTCAAAACTCGGGCAAAACACCCCAGTCTGCATGTCATGTATTGGAGGATCTATTTTAGTTTATATAATTTTATTTGGTTGTTTTTTGAGATTTTGGTATGCAGACATCTATTTATTATTTGAAAATTTTGATTGTAGAAATTATTAATAGCTTATCTAACTAGTCTTAATTTGATATGTATAATCCTTGCAACGTATATCTCATAGAAATTATTAATAGTATGAGCTTGTATCTTATCTGACTTGTTCTCATATGATGCGTTGGAGAAATCAATTTTACAACTTATATCTCCCAAAATAAAGCAAGCATAGATGATAAATTCGATATTGTAAGAGGATCAAGGTGAATGATTTCACCTTGATGGAATGAGAGTATCCTACATATTTCTAGTGCGACGTTTGTATTTTGACTATTTGTGCATTACATGCTGGTTTCAGCCTTGGTCTTGGCCTTGCGTTCAGCCAAGTGTGTTTCCAGCCATTGTTGGTCTTTGGTCTTGTTGCAGTTCTTTGGTTTCATGTTGATGCTTGGCCTTTGTTTTAATTTTGTGCATGGTTTCAACCTGCTCTCGGCCTTGGTTTCAGCTCCTGGTTGGCCTTTGGTTGGTATGCATATTTTGTGTTATGATGAGTTATTTTTTAGATATACAGCCAAAGTTTATAGCAGCAATATATTGGCGAGACAATATATTGCAGCCAACATTGCTATTTATAAACTTCATGGTGAGGTAGATAATGAAAAAGAGCCTTTTCTGAGCACAAAATATATTACAGCCAACATTGCTTTGGGTTTAGTTTTGTGCTAATCTGTTATTCATCATTTGATTCAATTATGATCATAAGATAATTGATTTTGTTCACAATTTCCATGTTTATATGCACAACTATGATGATGAGTGGTAATCTTACCATGGTGACCACAATCAAGTTTTCTTGATTTTTTATTTTGAACCAAACACTAGAAAATGAGGGAATCTATTCACAATTCAATTATTTTCTTCTTTTTTCAAGTTGAACCAAACTAAGAAAAATGATGGAAAGTACTTTCACTCCATATTTTTTGGCGAAACAAACATAAAAAATATTTTTCAGGAAAGTGAAGGAAACACTAGAAAGTGAAGGAAACGAACCAAACAGGCCCTAAAACGAGAAGCCCAAAACTATTGTCGAGGGGGAACAGTATCTCCCCACCCGACTTAAACCCCACTTTCATCATCTCTCTCCTCTTTCATCTAAAACCCTAATTTACCCTCATCTTCATAATTTAACCCGAAAGAGGCAAAAACAGTGTTTTGTTTGTCAATCAGAATCGGCCATGGACGAAGCAATGCCGCCTGTTCTCAAGCGGCGGA